CTGTACAATTCCTGGATTTTATGCATGCATAGATAAGTCAAACATCCACTTGTTCTGCTTAGCTGCCATACAAACAAGAATTGCATTTGCAGAGCACTTTTCACAACCACCAGAGAGTTCAAAGTACTTTGTAGCCAATGAACTATTCCACAGTGTGGTTGACCATTGTAAGGTTGTAAATGCAGCAGTCACTTCACACTCAGCAAGTTCCCACAACCACACCTGTCCCTTAAAGTCTTCGAGGTTGCAAGTTTCTGCCGTGGGGCTTCATGCGACTGAACGGGTTGATTCTCAATATGCTTACCTTTGGGCAGAAGGAGCACTATGACCCAAGGGGTAACGGGACTTGAAGTTCAAAATTTACTTCCTTTTTTCTTCACTGCAGTCAATCTTTCTAATCATTATGGCATTTGGAATCAAAGCATTGATGTAACCTGGTAGACACATTGTCACCATTCTGAATGATTGGTAATAATCTCCTCCCAGTCATTAAGGTTACTGCTTTGAAGAGCTGTCAAATGTCTGTAAGACATTTTCCTCATCCTCCCAGGGACAATGGTCTTTTGAGAGTAGAAAGAAAGGTTCTTATGTGAATAAGTTTTCAGAGACCTGGACACAGAATCCATTCCATGAAATGGATTTTGCAGGTGTTTGGCATGAACATTTTCGGGCAGGCTTCACGAAGGATACGAGCATTTGATTGACAGACCTCCTCTTGGATCAGATGGAGATATTGCTGATGGATTTTTCTACAGCTGCCATTTATCTCTGACACACAATCTAGGTCTTATTGGATTCAGCTGTTCTCTACGTTGGGAATTTTATTAACTTTTGGTGAATTGTCAGAAATCCTGGAATTCCCTCCCTAATGACACTGTGGGTCAACCAACAGCACATGGACTGCAGCGGTTCAAGAAGGCAGCTCACTGCAATCTTTTCAAGTGCGACTAGGATGGGGGCAATAAAATGCTGGCCAATCAGCAACACCCACGTCCGGCGAGTGAATGTAAAAAAAGTCCTACAATGTGATAATGATCAGATAGACTGTTTCTATGTTAATTAAGGGTCTTCAAAAGAATACCAGATGATGTTTTACGTCCATTCAAGCAGACCAGATGGTTTAATATCCCATCTCAAAGACAGCAACTCCAACCTTCCTTTTGTGCTCCTTTCCTCAAGTGGGAACTGAGCCTAGAGCCTCTTTAAGGCAGATGCCAACTAGGCCATAAGTAACACAATGGCCTGGATTTCCTGATGGCCAGGCAGATATTAATCCAGCGGAAGGAGATTTATATAGAGACTCTGCAAAATCTCTATCATTATAGACTCTGGAGGAATTGCCTGGGAAATTAAATATTCCACCAAGTAATTTCCCTACACCTGAAATCCTCTGAAAGTATCCAATTAAATTGGAGAATTAGAGTCATAGAATACAGCATGGAAACAGACCCTTTGGTCCAACTCATCCATGCCGACCAGAAATCCTAAATTAATCTAGTCCCATTTGCCAACATTTGGCCCATATCTCTCTAAACCCTTCCTATTCATATACCCATCCAGATGTCTTTTAAATGTTGTAATTATACCAGCCTCCACCACTTCCCTTGGCAGCTTATTCCATACATGCCCCACTCTCTGCATGAAAATGTTGCCCCTTAGGTCCCTTTTAAATCTTTCCCCTCTCACCTTAAACCTATACCCTGTAGTTTTGGATTCCCTCACCCCAGGGAAAAGACCTTGTCTATTTACCCTATTCATGCCGTCGTGATTTTATAAACCTCAATAAGGTCACCCCTCAGCCTCCGACCCTCCAGAGAAAATAGCTCCAGTCTATTGAGCCCCTCCCTATAGCTCAAGCCCTCCAACCCTGGCAACATCCTTATAAATCTTTTCTGAACTCTTTCAAGTTTAACAACATCTTTCCTATAGCAGGGTGACCAGAATTGAATGCCGTATTCCAAAAGTGGCTGAACCAAGTAAATATTTATATCAGATACCCCAGCTACATCTCCTCCAGACTCCTTAATCCTCCCAAACACCTCCCAGGATACATGCCCCGCAAAATGTCTCCAGACCCACTGTCCCCTTTTCTCTCTCAACCTGCTAACCCCTTTCTCCCCTGCCTAAACCCACTCTCCCTGCCCCCTTCCCCTGTTCCAGACTTGAATCCCCAGGAGAATCCCTTCTTCTGCCACTCCAGAGCCATCCCCTACCCCTGCTCTGGATCCAATCCCTTCACACCCCAACCCCAGACCCATTCCCTCATTCTCCTGTCCCAAGCTCATTCCCCCTCCTCTCCCCTTCCTGTATCTGTATGTGACTGCATCCCCCCCCCCATCTCCTGGAAGCTGCTGCTCCCCACTTCCCCCATCCCCTTCCCCTGCTCCAGGCCCAATCCACATCCCCCAGCCGGGATCTGCCACCTACCCCTCCCTTATCCAGACCTGATTTGCCCTGCCTGATCCTACCCTAGATACTGCATCAGTTGCGTGGCTTCCATGTCATCTTGCACTGTGGCACGTTACTTCTTGGCATCCTGCCCCATCTACCCAGCTGGCACCCAATCCAGATGGTACCTTTATCACCCAGCTATCTGGCATTGTACCCTCTGGGCAACCCTAACCTTACACTTAGTGTTTGCCAGCAGCTGGCGAAGTGCCTGTGGGTCAGCGTGCAGTAGTTGGCTGCTTGCTCACTCGGATTTACATGTTCCTGACCATCTGCACTTGGAAGGAACCGTCAGAATGGAAGGAGCCTTAGTCGCAATCTCCTGTCAGAAATGTGAGCCCTCCCCTTTCCTAAGCAAAAGGGCAGAGGGCCAGTCTGCCTGAGATTGATGCTGCTGAAGCCCTTTGGTGCATTGCTACTGCCTCCTCTGCCACCACGGGATGGGGCTGGTGTGTATCTGTGGCAGAAACATCTTCAAAGATTCACCCATTCCCACCAAGACTTCGCCCTCTATGGGAAATCCCGCCTTTGAATTGGAAATCTGACAGGAAGCCCCTTTTTTGTTAACACTGGCTCAGGCAAGTACCAGCACCCCGTGCAGCTGGGCTGTTAATAGTGAAACATAGGGTCAGGCATTGAGCCCAAACCTTCGCCTGAAATTCCGCTGGACTGAGAAAGGGAAGTATTCCCAACTCTCACCATTGCTCAGTTTTAATGGCAGATTAACAAGGACATCAGAGGCTGCTGCATGATTAAGGTCATTGTCATCTTAGTTTGGAAACCCTAGTGTGATTATGTCAAGAGCAAAGAGTTCTGATGGTGTGCTAAGGGATAATGTTAAACCATGAGCCAATTCTTAAGTCAGTTTGGATAGGCCTGTGCAAGGACTTGGTGCAAAATCCAGTACAGTTCCTGGATCTTTTAGGTAACAGGTTCTGCTTATGGAAACTGCTGTTAGTCTCTGGGGGAGAAAGACAGTTAGAAGCGTAGAAGATAGGAACAGGAGGAGGCCATTTAGCCCTTCGAGCCTGCTCTGCCATTCATGACAATCATGGCTGATCGTCCAACTCAATAGCCTAATCCTGCTTTCTCCCCATAACCTTTGATCCCATTCACCCCAAGTGCTATATCTAGCCGCCTCTTCAATACATTCAATGTTTTGGCATCAACTACTTCCTGTGGTAATGAATTCCACAGGCTCACCACTCTTTGGGTGGAGATATGTCTCCTCATCTCCATCCTAAATCATCTACCTTGAATTCTCAGTAAACAATCAAATTTTAATGGAGAAAGTGAAAGTCAAATTAGCATTTATTGGATGGCTTTTTGTCATTATTTAAAAAGATCACTGTTTCTGTTGCGAAAGTAATTTTGAAAGGCCTGTGGATGATGTAGTGTTAGTAAATGTGATAATATAAATTTGGGTGCTGAGACCCTGAGAAGAACAGTTTGCGGCAGTGCTGATCGATAGTCTGTCACTAAGCAAAACTTCTTCCAAATGCTACATTTTATTTCGCTCAGCCATTTAACAGACAACAGTGGGGAGGAAGTGCAGAGAGATCCCCGTTCGATTAGGGAGTAAGGTAAATTAGCAGGGGCCTTATTGTGAGACAAATACGCCTAGAGACTGTTGTATCACTTCCTTATTGCTTAAGATTAATACTAAAAGAAATGCACAAATCCTTATAGGAATGACCTTTCTTTAACTGCAGTGAAGGAAAAGGAATTTGGACATGATCACATCCGGGGTGATCTGAGATGAAACAAGAACAGAAATTGCTGGAGAAACTCAGCAGCTCTGGCAACATCTGTGGGGAGAGAAACAGAGTGAATGTTTCGGGTCCAGTGGACCCCTCTTCAGAACTGTCCAGAAGATTCACAAAATCAAAATACAGCAACTTCTAACATTTAAGAACAGTTCTGAAGAAGGGATTCGAAACGCTAGCCCTGTGTGTCTCTCCACAGATGCTGTAAGTCCTGAGTTTCTCCACTTGCTGTTTTTGTTTCAGATCGTCAACATCCGCAGTTGTTTGTTTTATGTTACGATCTGGGATTAAATTGATCGTTGTTGGTTTGAAATAGTTCACAACATTATACAGCTCTTATTTCACTCTGATTAAAACAAACTGAATTGGAATTTCAGATAAATTGCTATAAACCGAGCGAGTAACTGCTGTGGAGTCAGGAATTTTTGGACCTTTAGCTCACCGCCATCTGGACACATCCTTCATCTCAGGTTCTGAGCTCCTGCGCCCACTTACTGACCTGGGTGTAATGGAATCAGAACTCCGACATTTTCATGATGATCCTGTTATCGTGTTCTAAATCTGTTGTGAAGACATCTTATTTTCCAAAACGGAAGCACTTTGTTGAGTAGGAGTATGAAATAGTCATTTCAGGAATAAGGAGAACAGTTTCCAATTCACCTCCCAATCTTCCCGCTTTTGGAATGGGCAGCGCCTCTGCCCTCGAAAGACTCAGAAAAAATTGTTGAAAAATATCTGCCTCACAATGCTTCAGGTGCAGTCAGTTTCTCTTGTTCGCGCTCATTGTCTCAGGCGGCAGCTGTAATTTAAACAATGGTCTAAGGGCTAAGTAACCAGGGGCCTGTCACTGAAGGAGATGTTTTGACACACACACCTCACGGCAGAATCAGGTGACGGTAATAGTGTTGCACTCTGAAAGGAAGGGGAGAAAACCTTTTCTTAAAAAAAAGCGGAGAACAAGCACCGCGTTCGATGTTTGTTGGGTGACAAACAGAAGCTAAAATAATCTGATAAAGAGAAAATTAATATAAATATTGTGCGACAACAAGGTGCAGGGCTGGATGAACACAGCAGGGTCTCGGATTCTCCAGCATCTGCAGTTCCTACTATCTCTGATTCGATAAATATTGTGCATTCTCTTTACAGATTACCCAGCTCAAAATTGAAAACAACCCCTTTGCGAAAGGATTTCGAGGGGGAGATGACAGTGATCTGCGCGTATCTCGGTTACAGAGGTACGTTATGCAACAAACATGCAGGTACTCCATTTCATTTCAATGACTGAATTGGCTGTGTTTTGATTTCATGAAATCTTCTCTGGCGGGTTCTCTCTTTCAACACTGAAAATAAAAAGTGCTGGAGATCACAGCAGGTCAGACAGCATCCGTGGATGTGATCTCCTGTATTTTTTTTGTTTTAGTACAGATTCCAGTAACTGCAGTAATTTGCTCCTCCCCCTTTCATCAAAAAAGCTCATTTCCGGCCATGGGATGTCGGTCTTTTCCTTGACTTGAGCTGGGAAGTTAGAGAGAGAGGGAGAACAGTCTAGAATTTTTCGGTGGGAAATACCGTTTTTTTTTTCACGACGTGCACTGAGTGTTTTGAATCAGAAAATAGGACGGAAACCAAAGGAACCTTCAAACGGGCCGTTGCTAAAATGTGGGAATGGGCTTAAAGACCATCAGGAATCGGAGCAGAAGTATCCCATTCATTCCCGCTCCGCCTTTCAATGAGATCATGGCTGATCTAATCATCCTCAACTCCACTTTGCTGCCTGGTCCCCATGACTGCTTGATTGATTAAAAATCCAAACAGGGCGGGTAGAATTCCGTCAATCAACGTGGGGTAATGCACTGTTGTTACTATTCCATTCTTTTACTTATTCTTCGTGGGAGGCGGTTAGAACCATAGCACCCCTGCGGTGTGGAAGCAGGCCATTCGGCCCACCGAGTCCACGCTGACCCTCCGAAGAGCATCACACCCAGACCGTGATGGTCGCTGACTGGGCAGTATTTATTGCCCGTCCCTAGTTGCCCTTGTGGAGATGGTGGTGATGGAGGCAGTTTGAAGCCTTCCATTGAAGTAAACTCGATGTTGAAGATCAAGTGAATTTGACAATCCCTGAACTCAGGTTGTGGAAAACTGTTCTTCCACTCCCTTTACTCAATTACATTTTCAGCATCCAAATATAAAATCTAATTTCCACCAGCATTAGGTTGTTTAAACTGTTACAGCAAACAGGTAAGAGAATCCTAGAATTTATCTCAAACATAGAACATAACAGTCCAGCAGAAATGACAAACCAAGGTCGATACTAAATAATATCTCAATTGGAATACCATGTGCATTATTGAGATGGGCACTTTTGGGAAGGACCTTGAGACTTCAGAGACAGTATAAGGCAGATTTATTGGGATAGTTCCATTTTTGAGGACATTTCAAAACAAAACAAAATACACTTTGGAACATTTGTCTGAGAAGATTACACGTCACTAAAGGGTATGACAGGGCAGATGGAAAGCGGTTTTCCAGTCACTGTAAGCCTAGATTGCGAGGTTAGGGTACAAAGTTAAATGTGAGTAAGGAAACTAAAGGAGCTTGTAGAATTTACTTTTTAGGATCAATAATTGCACAAGAATGGCCAAGACTCAACCCTTGATCTGACAGTTGCGCGGAGGATGAGGGGATGAAGGAAAGTACAGAATGGAGATAGGTGATGAGGGGCATTTGCTCTCCCGGAGGTTAAACATCATGAATTGCTTCAGTCGAATGGCCTGGTTTCCGTAACAACATCAGAAATTGCTGGAGAAAACTCAACAGGACTGGCAGCATCAGAAAAACAAAGTTAATGTTTCCAGTCCAGTGACCCTTCTTCAGAACATGTTTTCTGTGTTGTATCTTTATGTAATTTAACTAGATATAAATGTGAATTCTTCAATTCCCCTTTGATTCTAAGGGGCACTCTGGTGACAAGTTTATTTCCTTAAAATAAACTAACTTTTGGTCAAAATGGTTTGCATTTAAAATGAGGGTGAAATGGGAGAGGACAGAAGGGGCTATTCCTCTGCGATGTGGAAATGCCAGGCGGGTGTTTCTAATAGTTACAGATGTCGCTCTGCCTCTGTGAAGAACCAAGCTTAGACTTGTCCCAGATTTTGAAATCTACCCTTTATTAAAATTGCAACGTCTAAATTTAGAACCATAGGACAGAAGGAGGTCACTCACGGGTAGTCGAGTCCATACAGACTCTCTGTAAGAGAAATGCATCGAGTCCGTTCCCCCGCCTCTGACCTGCACATTTTAATCTTCAGGCGCTTGTTCAACTCACCTTTTAAAGCTTCAGTTGCGCATTTCACCACCACCGTCTCAGGCAGTGCCTTCCAGATTCAAACCGCTTGCTGCATTTCCTTTGGTTCTTTCGGTCCTCTGATTCTCCGCCCCGCTGCAAAAAGGAACAGTTTCACCTTAAAGTGTGTGTCCTCGGTTTATTGACCCTTGAACTAAAGGGAACAGCTGCTTTCTACCCACCCATCATATTCTACACCGCCCCGCTGCCAAAAGAAACCGTTTCTGTCCGCTTAATCTCTCCAGAGCCCTTCAGTAAATAACCTCTAGATCTTCGGTTCCAACTGAGCTGTTTTCTGCCCTCCTTTTCCATGCTCCTCATGCTCTGATTGAGGTGTACAAGATTAAGAGGGATATGGACAGAGTCGACAGATGGCAGCCCCCTCCACCCCACCCCACCCCCCGCTGAAGTGTCAGTAACAAGGGGACAAGCTTTAAGGTGAAAGGCTTAAAGGGGACTTGAGGAAATTTCATTTCACGCAGAGGGTGGTGGGAGCCTGGAATGCACTGTCTGGGAGGGGAGTTGAGGCGGAAAACCTCAACTTTTGAAAAGCATCTGGATGAGCCCTTGAAATGTCGTAGCATTCAAGATTAATACAGACTCAAATCAGCTTCGGCGGTGCAGCCCCGATGGGCCTCTTGTGTATGGTATAATTTCTCTGAGAACAACTTCAGTCTGTCCTCTTGGCTGAAGTCCCTAATCTTTGGGATAGTAGAAACTGCAGATGCTGGAGAAGCTGAGATAACAAGGTGTAGAGCTGGATGAACACGGCAGGCCAAGCAGCATCAGAGGAGCAGGAAGGCTAGAGCTGGATGAACACAGCAGGCTCCTATGATGCTGCTTGGCCTGCTGTGTTCATCCAGCTCTACACCTTGTTATCCCTAATCTCTGGAACCGTTCTGGTAAATCCTGTCTGCCTTTCCTTTAAAGCTTTCAGATCCTTTCTAATGTGTAGCGGCCAAAAATCACGACCAATGTTGCAGGTGAAGCAGACACAAGTGAGGATTTGTTATAACTGCCTACAGACAAAGGGGGTAGCCATGGGTACCCGCATGGGCCCAAGCTACGCCTGCCTCTTTGTAGGTTACGTGGAACAATCCCTCTTCCGTACCTACACCGGCCCTAAACCCCACCTCTTCCTCCGTTACATTGATGACTGTATCGGCGCCGCCTCGTGCTCCCACGAGGAGCTCGAACAGTTCATACACTTCACTAACACCTTCCACCCCAACCTTAAGTTTACCTGGACCATCTCTAACACCTCTCTCCCCTTCCTGGACCTCTCTGTCTCCATATCGGGCAACCACCTAGAAACCGATATTCATTTCAAGCCCACCGACTCCCACAGCTACCTAGAATACTCCTTCTCCCACCCACCTTCCTGCAAAAATGCTATCCCCTATTCCCAATTCCTTCGCCTCCGCCGCATCTGCTCCCAGGATGAGGCATTCCACTCCCGTACATCTCAGTTGTCCTCGTTTTTCAAGGACCGTAACTTCCCCTCCTCGGTGGTCGAGAACGCCCTCAACCGTGTCTCCCACATCTCCCGCACCTCATCCCTCACACCCCGTCCACGCAATAAAAACCAAAAAAGAATCCCCCTCGTCCTCACGTACCACCCCACCAACCTCCGGATCCAACGCATCATCCTCCGACACTTCCGCCATCTGCAATCCGACCCCACCACCAAAGACATCTTTCCCTCCCCACCTTTATCTGCTTTCCGGAGGGACAACTCTCTCCGTGACTCCCTTGTCCGCTCCACACTCCCCTCCAGCTCCACCACACCCGGCACTTTTCCCTGCAACCGCAGGAAGTGCTACACCTGCCCCCATACCTCCTCCCTCACCCCCATCCCAGGCCCCAAGAAGACTTTCCACATCAAGCAGATGTTCACCTGCACATCTGCCAATGTGGTATACTGCATCCGCTGTACCCGGTGTGGCTTCCTCTACATCGGGGAAACCAAGCGGAGACTCGGGGACCGCTTTGCAGAACACTTACGCTCGGTTCGCAACAAACAACTGCACCTCCCAGTCGCGAACCATTTCAACTCCCCCTCCCATTCCTCAGACGACATGTCCATCCTGGGCCTCCTGCAGTGCCACAACGATGCCACCCGAAGGTTGCAGGAACAGCAACTCATATTCCGCTTGGGAACCCTGCAGCCCAATGGTATCAATGTGGATTTCACAAGTTTCAAAATCTCCCCTCCCCCCACCGCATCCCAAAACCAGTCCAGCTCGTCCCTGCCTCCCTAACCTCTTCTTCCTCCTCCCACCTCAAGCCGCACCTCCATCTCCTACCGACCAACCTCATCCCGCCCCCTTGACCTGTCCGTCCTCCCTGGACTGACCTATCCCCTTCCTAACTCCTTACCTACACTCACCTTTCCTGGCCCCATCCCCGCCTCTTCGACCTGTTTGTTTCCTCTCCACCTATCCTCTCCTCTATCCCTCTTCTATCCGCCTCCTACTCTCTCCCTATTTATTTCAAAACCCCCTTCCCCTCCCCCTTTTCTGATGAAGGGTCTAGGCCCGAAACGTCAGCCTCTCTGCTCCTATGATGCTGCTTGGCCTGCTGTGTTCATCCAGCCCTGCACCTTGTTGTCTCGGATTCTCCAGCGTCTGCAGTTCCTACTATCTCTGATTTGTTATAACTTCCTTGCTTTGAAGTCAGTGTTTCTGTCCATAATGTTAAGCATTCTAGATGCCTTGTTAACTTTTTTTTTAACCTACACAGCCACATTCACCGGCGTGTGTATGAACAGTCTCGGTTGCTGCAATCCCTGGAGAATTGCAGCCTTTACCTTCTATTGCCTTTTCCTCATTCTTCCGATCAAATGTGTCAAAAGAACAAAAAACAAAGAACAACACAGCAGAGGTGCGCCTTGCACCGACACATTTTGCCCCTCCACCCTAGGAAGAAACCTCACACTTTCCACTCTATCCATGCCATTGACAATCTTATAACCTTCTATCAGGTCGCCCCTCAACCTTCCTGCATTCCAGTGAAAACAAACCCAGTCTATCTAACCTTTCTTCCCCCATACCAGGCAACATCCTGGTAAACCTTTTCTGAACCCTCTCCAAAGCATTCATATCTTTCTGATAGTGTGGTGACCAGAACTGTACACAATATTCCAAGTGTGGCCTAACTAAAGCTCTAAAAAGCTGAGCTGCTACCCTCAATGATCTGTGGACCTGCACACCCAGATCCCTCTGAATATCAATATTCCTAAGTGTTTTGCCATTCACTGTATAACTTCCACCTGCACTTGACCGTCCTAAATGCATCATCTCACATTTGTCCAGATTAAACTCCATCTGCAAACTTACTAATTAGACCAGCTACGTTTTCCTCCAAATCATTTATGTAGACCATGAACAACAGAGGTCCCAGAACTCCACTAGTCACAGCCCTCATTCTGAAAAGCATCCTTCCACCGCTACCCTCTGTCCCCTATGACTAAGCCAGTTCTGTATCCATCTTGCCATCACTTCATACTGTTCTGCACCTAATTCCAATATGAAGGCCCTTGCCACCAATCTCCCTGTGTAACCTTGACATTGATCATTATCCTCCTCACAGTTCACAGGATTTCCAAGTTCTGTCACCTGCAACATTTGAAATTGTGCCACGTATTGTACACCCAAGTCGGAGCTATTAATATATTCCGATAAAAGCTGTGGTCTTAGAACGGCTCCCGCAGGAACACCGCTGTGTACCTTCTTCCAGGTCGCCTTCCTAGTTAAGAATCTTACTTCCTATCCTCAGTTTTTGTCACACTTATGCGTCAACGCTTTGAAAGTTCCCATGTAAAATGGTTAGACTGATTCCATCCTCCCACCAGAGACACTGTTTTAGTTCCTCAGTTATGCTTCGCAGAAGTTCTGGGTATGCACTGCAGTGAAACAGTTTATTTAAAACCTTATCTGTGGGCCCTCTAATCTAATTACCTCCCCCATCTGTTGGCCCTGACTCCCCTCTGTAATGCTACAGCTGGTATAAATACAAAAATCTTCCGGTGCCTTTTTTCTTCGCAGGGAATATCCGGTCATTTCCAAAAGCATTGTCAGGCAAAGACTGATTTCTAACCATGGCCAGTTGACACCGAAAATGGAAGGCAGCATAGCGCACGGAGCGCAGACTCATCAGCACTATCCGTACGACAGTAACGGGCCCCTCCCGTTAAGCTCACCCGGCGCCCAGGACCTGGCGCTCAGTCCCTTTGCGGCGCAGAGAGATTCGGGGCTCATCTATCACTGTTTTAAACCAAGAGGTAACTGGGGACTGAGTTTAAATGCATATTCAGTGATTATTGATCCGCGGAACTTAGCAAAGGCTAGAAGATTGTACTGAGGCAATCTAATGCTTTCAATTATTCTTACCCAAAACAGTAACAGAGTCCCCTCTATTCGGGATGGTTTAAAGTCCACCCTCCGCCCCACACACTGTCCTCCAAACCTTATATCACTGTCAGGATGAACTTCCCTTCTTGTGGACGGACCGTTCTGTTACGTTAACATTTACTGTCAGTAACTGCCGAATAAAATAAAGTGAACGGTTCTCCACTCAAAAACGAGCGAGCGTAAATCAAAATGTAGCAAAAACCTCGCACACGTCAAGACCCGGTTATGTTTTAATCTTTCTCCGTCTGTTTATTAATCACCATACTGTGTCTTTCTGTATGAATCTTTGTTTTGACTTTTACTGCCATCATCGGGTGTGTGTCCCAGGACCAGGTAATAAAGCTGTGAACCACAGCCTGAAAGTGTAAGACTTCATCCGGCTGTCTGTTTATACCAGATCCTGCACCTTTTTAGAAATTACACCTTCTGGCGTGGTTTGCGGAAAATGCCCCCGATTCACTGCTCGATCAAATCTCCACTCTACATTCATGACCGAAAACTTGGAAAGGACGGGGTATGTGTGCGCGGATCTCACCTCTGTCAGCTCCTGCCTGAGCACTGATAACATCTAATATAACCAATCCCCACCCACCTCCACCACCGTGTTTGTGATTACAAATCATATGCTGCTGTAATATTTAAACTAAACAGCCCGCAGTGCACAGTGCACTATACGCACCATTTTTATGTAGCTCTGACAAACTGTAAGGAGTATTTCCGAAATCGCAGCCTCCTTCCGCATGGGAAATGGTTAAACCACGGGGCGCTTGCTTTCCTGGCAAGTATTTCCTGCCAATGGTAATTGCTGCTGGAAATGAGAAGATCGTCTCGTGGCACCGACGACAATAATCTATCAAACCACAAATCTTACCTTTCCTATACATTGTGTAAATAAATACTGCGCTATACGTATTTGCACATAAGAAGTTTCTGCCCACTAACGCCTCTGTCTACATGAAGTGATGATTCTCCCGACGTTAATAGGAAACATAGTTTGACTATAGTAAGGATGGAACCAAACGGAGCGATAAGGTGAATGAGAAAGCTGCTCGATCTTGTCAGGGATGTGTCACATTAATCTATGTACTGAGGCTGTCTGTGTAGTCTGCAAGCCGACTGTCAGTAATTAACAGCTCCGACTGATAAGCATTCCTTGTGCTGATTGATGCTGAGACGTTTGGTCTTTGTAGCTGTACAGTGATGGTGTTTTATAACGGAGAGCTGGCACAGGCCTCTGGGCTGTACTTGGACGTTCTGTTTCTACTTACAGAAGATAACGGATGGCAATAAATTACTGAAACTTCCAGTTGTCCTAAAAAAAGTGGATGAACATAAGCCAATGTAAACAGCAGCTTGGAAAGCAGTTCTTTTACAGACAACTAGCATCGTTTTCTTAAAAAGTGACTTTTTTTTGACACAGTGCTGTCATAATGTTCTGCTTGTCACATTCCTATGTGCTAGGCAGTTGCCAGCAGAAAGGGCAGGTCAGACAGTCAAAATGCTCTCTCATAAGGAGTTCTGTGCCTTATGGACCAGCTGGCAGGAAATTACAAAATAAAATACAGACTGGAGGAACTCAATAGGTCTAGCAGTGCCTGTGGTGAGAGAAACAGAGTTAATGTTTTCTGTCCAAAGACTCTTCTTAGGAACTGAAGGGGCTGGAAGATGGTGGCGTTTATGCTGCTGACAAAAGGGGAGGTGGAGCAAATGGAACAGATCTCTCCTAACTCTCTCACCCTTCCATGACACCTTCCCATGCAATCACAGAAATTGGAACAAATGCCCCTTTACCTCTTCTGTTTATCAAATTGATTCCTGGGATGGCAGGACTGACCTACCAGGAGAGATTGAGTCTATTAGGATTGTATTCACTGGAGTTTAGAAGAATGAAACCAATCAAGTTCTAACACACCTAGACAGGTTAGATGCAGGAAGAATGATCCCTATGGTGGGGGAGTCCAGAACCAGGTTATCATTCAAGGAAATTGGGTAAACCTTTTAGACTGGATGAGGAGAAATTTCTTCACCCAGATAGAGATGAGCCTGTAGAATTCACTACCACAGAAAACGGTTGGGACCATAACATGATATGTTTTCAAGAAGGAGGTAGATTTGGGTCTTGTAAGTAAAGCGATCAAGGGATGTGGCAGGATGGTGCGATAAGGGTATTGAGCTCGATGATCAGCCATGACTTTATTGAATGGTAGAACAGGCTTGAGGGGTCAAATGGCCTTCTCCTGCTCCTATCTTCTAGGTTTCTATTTTTCATCACACTGCAAGGCCCCAGACACACTTTCAGGTGAAGTAGCTTTTTCCTTGTACTTCTTTCAATCTAGTCCACTGTATTCTCTGGTCACATGCAGTCTCCTTTACATCGGTGCGACTAAACAGTCTGGGTGACTACTTTTGTGAAATATCTCCACTTTGTCCATAGACTAACTCCAACCTTTTTGCTTACAATTTCAATATAACACTTGCTCTCAAGCCAACATTTATGTCCTGGACCTGCTGCAGTGCTCCATTGAAGTTCAACACAAGCTGGAGGATCAGCACCTCATTTTCCACTTAAATACTTCACAACCTTCAGGGCTCAATATTGAGTTCAACATTTTCAAAGCATGGACACTGTCTTCTTCCTCTCTCCCTCCCTCCACCTGTGTCTTGTTGGATTTGCTTTCAACAGATTTGACTTACTTTCTCCTTTTCAAGCCTATTATTAACAACTACTTTTGAATCTCAATCTCTCCTTTACCAACTTTAAACTCCCTGCGTATTTTGCTCAGGTACCATTACTGCCTGCTTTGTCAACATGATAAAAAGCATTATATCCAGCCCCTTCAGGTCTGAAGAAGAGTCTTTAAACTTGACACAGTAACTCTTGTTTCTCTCTCCTGTTATGACACAGGGGTAGCAAACTGAATCATCATTATCACTGGATTGCAACACAGTGAAATGAAAGTATTCAATGACCTCAAAGTTGCTGAATTGTTACAGATTTTATACGGAGCAGATTTTGGACACCATGTTTATAACTTAAACAAAAAGTAACAATTTATTATTCATATTGCAACTTTAGCAGGACAAAGCTAAACAACAGGTAATCTAATTAATATTTATGATTTAAACCCAATCTTCTTTTATCAAAACCCCACTCACATCTGAACACAGTTAAGGTATAAAGAAAAAAAAGACTTATAATTTGTGATTAGTGATAACTTATAATTTGTCAGTTCTGTTAAACAGTTTCAAAGGATGAATGTTGATCCTTCACACATTCCTTAAATAATGAGTCATTTACAGGCACATAACTGTATATCTAATTTTGAAGACAATCATAATTGGAGATTAAGAAACAATTATTTATTTTGTTTAACAAGCAAAAATAATTAATGGGTTAGAATAGTGGTATCAAACACTTTGAAATGGCAAAATGTTCTACTTCCCAATGATACCATTTGTTACCCTGATTATCATGAAACTCTTATAAAGAAATTTAAATATTGATAACAGGGAAAGAGGCAGATGGGCAGAATTTATAAAAGGAAACATTTTTAAAATAGATTTTATTTTTAAGAACTTATTTTGTATTGTTGTTAGTGGAATCAACAATGAATAATATTTTCAGTGCTGTGCTGCCATAGTTTATCACTATTACAGCCACATGGCAGAGAAAACTGTATCTAGAAGAACAAAGAACAATACAGCACAGGAACAGGCCCTTTGGCCCTCCAAACCTGCACCGACACATTTTGCCTTTCCATACTAAAACTGTCTTCACTTACAGGATCCATATCCCTCTATTCCTTTCCTATTCATGAATTCGTCCAGGTGCTTTTTGAATGCTGCTATTGTGTCTGCTTCCACCACCTTCTCTGGCAGCACGTTCCAGGCACTCACCATCCTTTGTGTGAAAAACGTGCCTCACACAACTCTTTTAAACTTACCCCCCCACCCTCCCCCAACACCTCGCACCTTGAACCTGTGTCCCCCAGTAATTGACCTCACCACCCTGGGAAAAACCCTCATACTTTCCACTCTATCCATGCCATTCACAATCTTATAAACTTCTATCAGGTTGCCCTTCCTGCGTTCCAATGAAAACAAACCTAGCCAATCCAACCTTTCTTCATAGCTAAAATCCCCATACCAGGCAATATCCTGGTAAAACTTTTCTGTACCCTCTCCAAAGCATCAACATCCTTCTGATAGTGTGGTGACCAGAACTGCACACAATATTCCAAGTGTGGCTTAACTAAAGTTCTATAAAGCTGCAGCATAACTTGTCTATCCTTATACTCAGTGCCCCTTCCAATGAAGGCAAGCATGCCATAAGCCTTTTTTACAACCTTATCTACCTGGACTGCCACCTTCAGTGATCTGTGGACACCCAGAACCCTTTGCATATCAATACTTCTAAGGGTTCTGCATTCACTATATAATTTCCACCTTGACCTTCCAAAATGTGTCATCTCACATTTGTCCAGAATAAGCTCCATCTGCCATTTTTCTGTCCATGCCTCCAACTGATCTATATCCTGCTGTATCCTCTGATGATCATCCTCACTATCCACAACTCCATCAATCTTTGTATCATCTGCAAACTTACTAATTAGACCAGCTACGATTTCCTTCGAATCACTTATGTAGATCACGAACAGCAGAGGTCCCAGCACTGATCCCTGTGGAACACCACCAGTCACAGCCTTTCATTTTGAAAAGCATCCTTCCATTACTACTCTTTGTCTCCTATATGACTAAGCCAGTTCTGTATCTATCTTGCCAGCTTACCCCGATACCATGTGACTTCACCTTTTGTACCAGTCTGCCATGAGGGACCTTGTCAAAGGCTTTACTAAAGTCCATGTAGATAACATCAACCACTTTTCCCTCATCAATCATCTTTGTCACCTCTTCAAAAACTCCATCAAGTTAGTGAGGCATGACCTCCCTCGCTTAAAACCATGCTGTTGATCACTACTAATTCCATTTGCTTCTAAATGCATATAGATCTTGTCCCTGAGAATTTTTTCCAATCCTTACCACTGACATGAGACTCACAAGCCTGCAATTTCCAGGATTATCC